AGCGCTTTTCTGGACACTCCACTCAAAGCTCTTTACAGGTAATGGGGATCCCCTCCACCACCACCAGTGTGCAGCCCCACCTGGATGATGCTCCAGTCTGCTCACATACACCAGCTCTCAGTGGGGAGGAGAGCAGAGTGATGAAGCCAGTTCAGAAAGGGGGGTTATTAGGAGGCCATGACTGGTAAAGGCCAGGGGTAACACCCCTACTCTTTCGAGAAACACCCTGTGGTCTTAATGAGTCGGTTTTATGTCTCATCAGAAGGACAGCATCTTTTTACTATAGTATTGTGTCCCCCGTTACTACAATGGGGAATTAGGACCGACAGACTGCAGGGTGAGCGCCCCCCTACTGGCCCCACTAACACCTCTCCCAGCAGCAACCTCAGCTTTCCCAGGAGTCTCCCCTCCAGGTACTGATCAGGCTCACACCTGCTGAGCTCCACTGGGCTGCCAGCTGGGAGCTGCTGGGTGATATAACTGGTAAAATACTGTCAGTAACCACGGAACAAAAGAACCTACTGAGACAGATTTTGAGAAAACTGTATTCCAAAAAAGCCTCCATGCTTTCATTCATGTTTTTTTTTATCAGTTCAAAAGCAAAACACTGATGGCGTTAGGTTTCAAACCAATATCCCCGCTGAAATTGAGGTTATTAATCTCGGTACTTTTACATTTCACAGTCTATTGTAACACATGTCCATTAATTTCAAAAACACTGCTCAGTTCTATCGAGAGAATTAACCGATTTAAACATATGTCAGCAGAACTGGTCCGTTTAAGCACTGGAAACATCAAGGGTTTTACATTCATTCCTCATGAGAGGTAACCGTATCACAGGCGTATACTCATATGCAAAACTCAATCAAACCCAGATCCGGTTTCGTAGTAGAGGTTGCGTAAGATCAGCAGGTACCCTGACATGGGCACTGTCTGAACAGCTTCACTCCATCTGCCCCAGCGAACAGGTTCAAACCAATCGCGGGCCGGGCCGGGCCGCCGCCTCCAGACCGGCTCCGTCCGTATGTCCAAGCACGGCCCCTTACCCGGTACCCCTTCGCTACCCGTTCGAAACCCCGAAGCGCAGATAAACCAAGACGGTTTAACAACTGGACGGTTTCTCGCCGAGGCATGGCAACGACACACCGATCGGAGAACAAACGGAGAGGTGCGCTCACCTTCCCGTGTCCGGCGGCTCGGCGCTCTCGCCGTGCGAGGAGGAGGAGGAGGAGGCTGGCGGCGATGAAGTTAATAAAGTCGTGCTGGGGAGCACTGTACACTCGATCGCTGTTCACCGAGATCTTTTTTATCTTAGCTCTGCGGGATCTGACCCTCTCCTCCCTGCAAGCACAGGAGGTGTCCCGCACGGGCGTGCAACCGCGCACACGCCCAGACGTCCAGTTTAATACCTCCTTCAGTACCGGTTTCTGTGATGGGTTTGAATCAAACACCTGCCAACCACATAGCCGGTGAGGATGGATAATCAAGTCTCCCTGAATATCTTCAAAGGCCGCTTTTCATTTTTTTAGATCGCGGTATACGTGAGGCTCCTGAGGTTTTTACGTCAGCCTCCGCCGGGCCACGCAAGGCCTCTCCACTCCCGTCCTCTGTTAATGACGTCACACGCTTGCGGATGCGCGCGCATCTGTGCTGTTTCCGTTTTTCCATCGCAACAAAAAACATACTGTATATACTACACACAGGAGTGCACGTAACATCATCAGGGGTTCATAATACAGTTGCACTTTACTAAACAGATTAAGTGAGGTAACTGAAGATAAGGTACGCACAGCTTTCATGTCCTTACGTTTATTATTATTAGCACTTTTCTGGACACTCCACTCAAAGCTCTTTACAGGTAATGGGGATCCCCTCCACCACCACCAGTGTGCAGCCCCACCTGGATGATGCGCCAGTCTGCTCACACACATCCTAGTGGGGAGGAGAGTAATTGGAGGTGAAGCCAGTTCAGAGAGGGGGGTTATTAGGAGGCCATGATTAGTAAAGGCCAGGGGGGAATTTGGCCAGGACACCAGGGTAACACCTCTACTCTTTTCGAGAAACAACCTGGGATTTTTAATGACCACATAGAGTTTGTGGTCTCGGTCCTCGGTTTTCCGTCTTATCCGAAGGACGGCACCTTTTTACAGCATAGTGTCCCCATCACTATTCTGGGGTATTAGGACCGACACAGACTGCAGGGTGAGCGCCCCCTCCTGGCCCCACTAACACCTCTTCCAGCAGTGACCTTAGGTTTTTCCCAGGAGGTCTCCCGTCCAGGTACTGAGCAGGCTCACACCTGCTGAGCTCCACTGGGCTGCCAGCTGTGATATAGTGACTAAACTAAACCATGAATTGCGGGAGCTCCGTGTCTTGAATGTTGGAGAGCTTTTTTCTTCAAGACAGACGAGCTGTGCTAACTTCGAAACGGATTGCAGAACAGCCTCAGAACAAGACGCCTGACAAAGCACATTAACAGTGCAGATCTATTAGTTAAGAAAATAAATGACCTTATTGTTAGCAGATTGAGGACGGGAGCACTGCGGACGAAACAAATCTTTGAAGTGAAAGGACAGTGCCAGACGTTTGGAGTACCAGAATCTCTGGGTCACGTTTTATTTCATTGTAGCGAATATGTCGCACCGCGCGAAGGGGGTCAGTGTAAATTAGGTTACAGCAGGAATTTGCAGTAGGGCTCGACCCTGGAAGAGGTCTATGCCGGTGGTATGCACCATTTTGTTAAAGACTGACATCTAGTCTAGGCAGGTTTCAGTACCAGAGTAAAAAAGAGTTAATAAAAAGTTAGTTCGTCTTCTCTTCGATAAACTAGGCGGGAGTAATATGCGTCTGCTACAACGACAAAAGACGAGAAACTCTGACTCCTTAACTTTATTTGTAAGACAGTATCTATCAGCAATTGTCCAAACTAATTTCCAGTTTATATCCCTAAACATAGTATTCCAAAAAGAGACACAAGAAGGTATAAAATATAAATTACACAAGTTCCTAGTATAATTATTATTACATTTTTTATCTTTTATATCTACTTCATCCAAAAATAAATTATCAGAGAAATCAGAAAAAACTAAAAATTGTCACTTTCTAGATTTAAACACGAACGACATAACTTATGTGTATTTTGTAATAGTGAGAAGGAATCTTTTTTACATTTGCTTGTTAATTGCATATAAACAAAATTGTTTTGGATAGCTTTGCAAAATGTTATTGTTAAACATTTAAATGTAAATGTTATTTTAAATTTCGTTAGACCTTTTTTGAATAAAATATATGTTTGTGTTATTAATCTGTTAATTATTTTGGCGAAATACTTCATCCACAAAAGTAAATGGTCTAATATCGCTCCCTTTATGAATGCTTTTAAGGTTGAATAATTATTTTATTTAAATTAATTAGAAACTTGAAGAATCAAAAGCCAAGACATACAATGGAAATATGTAAAAAGATTAATTTTTAGCTTTTATAATTGTGAATTCCTCTGGCTGTGAAGTGTCTCTATTTCTGTATATATTTCATTATTCTGTCTCCTTTTTTGTATTTCTGGCGTTTAAATAAAAACTTTAAAAAGAGAAACTCCGACTCCCCTGATGCAGCTCTCCGCACAGGCGGAAGTTGCGCTGCGGGGGCCGAGGTGAGCGTCGGTCTTCTGTGGAATGGGTCTGCTGCGTGTCCACGATTATTTTTCCTGAGGCTCATTCTGGGGGACTTTTATTTCGAAAGGTGCCGCCAATAGGAAACTGGCTCAGGCTGCTCTGCTGTACTGTATGTGTTGGAGTCGCTGTGGTGGGGAAGTGAGAGCTGTCGGAATGATGAATGCGTCTTTCTCACAGACCACAACAGTGTAGGACACAGCACCGGACAGGCGCCTCCTAAGATCCGGCGACACGTCATCTTCACCCCCTTCCTCCTCCTCGGGCTGTGAGCGCCCCGAGCCCCCGGACACGGAGAGACAGCAGCAGAGAGCCCGGGCGCTGGGTGAGGGGCTGTTTTCCATTACTCTGCTATGCGTGTCTTCATTTACTACCCTAACATTTTCAAATGTTTATGTAATTCTGACGGCGGTAGCCAAATACGTTTTACTTATTGGGTCACCTAGCATGAGACCATAGGCATATTCCCAAACGAGCCTACTGGATCAATCAAGTGTGTGAAATAGTAATTGACTACAACACCTCCTCCAGCTGTTTCTTGAAAGAAGCCAAGGTGTTCCACACTCCTGCCACCCTTTGTGTAAACTGGTGCGTCCTGTCCTGACTGGAGGATCTCCTCCAGCTGTTTCCTGAGAGAAGTTAGGGTTTCACAGTATAGCTGGGCAGCTTGTTCCACACTCCTACCACCCACGTTGTAAAGTAGACGATCTTCATCAATGACGTGGCACATGGTTGTATACTGTACATTCATTCATTAAAACATGATTCCTTTCTGAATGGCTGTTGCTACCAATTTGGAAGCAGATAATTCTGAAAATCTTTCAACGACTGTAACATGCATTAAGTTGACACTTTATTTAGATCAGTCTGATCAGCTGAGGGTCAGAGCTGCTGCTCACAGGCTCGTTCTGCTGTCTGCTTGTTCCCCAGGAGCTGGAGAGGCCGGCGCTCTCCCTGACACTGGGGAAAGGGCTCCCACTGAGCAGCAGCACTGGGAGCAGGAGTGGGGCTCCATTCTGAGGCAGGACACAGAGCCCACAGCTACTGGAGGAGCTCGGGGGACTGGAGTCTGTCCAGATGGCAGAGAGAGACATTGAGGGCGTCCCACAGGGACTCCCCACGCCGGGGTCTGAGGCAGAAGGGTCCAATTTTACACCTTATTGTGTCAAAAATGAATGTGATCTGAGTTCCACCTACACTGAGACGTGTTCCAGGATACAGTCCCTTGACGCTGTGGAACTAGGCTCAGAGCTCAGACTAGGGTTTCCTTGTGTTAAAAGAGAAAATGAGAAAAATCACAGTAAGTCAAATCAGCACAGTGACCTCCAGTCCTTCCATGATACTGAGCTACACTCCATTAAAACCGAGTCTGAGCCCAGCCTGGTGTCTGATTACATTAAAATGGAGATGAATGAGCTGGAGGCTGTGGACACGGCAGATTCAGTAGGGCAAAAGATCAGTGACAGACAGAATGATCCTGGATCTGGTTCTGTTATTAAATCAGAGCCCGAGCCCGGTACTGAAGGCCAGTGTGTCCTGCAGTCTGTGGGCCCAGGAGAGGGGCTCAGTGCAGGGAGTCAGAGCCCTGAACCCTCCAGCACACCCACCCCCTCAACACTGTCTGTGAGCACCAGCACAGTGGAGACCCCCGGAGACCCTGCGGACTGCCACCGCTGTGCCCAGTGCGGGAAGAGTTTTGCTATTCTGTGGACTCTGAAAAGACATGAACGAATCCACACAGGACAGAGACCGTACTGCTGCTCCCAGTGTGGGAAGAGTTTTAGTCAGTCAGGACAACTAAAAACACACCAGCGAATCCACACAGGAGAGAGGCCGTATTCCTGCTCCCAGTGTGGGAAGAGTTTCCGCTACTTAGCAAACGTGAGATCACATCAGCAAACTCACACGGGAGAAAAAGCACACTGCTGCTCTCTGTGCGGGAAGAGTTTTAGCACATCAGGAGTCCTGAAAAGACACCAGAAAACTCACACGGGGGAGAGACCCTTCTGCTGCTCTCAGTGTGGACGGAGTTTCTGCACTTTAGCGTATCTGAAAACACACCAACAAACACACACAGGAGAGAGACCGTTTCCCTGCCCTCTCTGTGGGAAATGTTTCAGGAGCCTAAAAATCCTGAAAATGCATCAGCAGATCCACACAGGGGAGAGACCGCACTGCTGCTCCCAGTGCGGCAAAAGTTTCAGTTCCTCGGGCAACCTGAAGACGCACCAGCGAGTTCACACGGGAGAGAGGCCGCACTGCTGCTCCCAGTGTGGGAAGAGCTTCACTACGTCGGGAAACCTGAAGAAGCACGTACAGCTGCACACGGGAGAGAGGCCCTTCTGCTGCCCGCAGTGCGGGAAGAGCTTCAGCAACGTAGAGACGCTGAAGACGCACCAGCGCACGCACACGGGAGAGAGGCCCTTCTGCTGCCCCCAGTGCGGGAAGAGCTTCAGCCGCCTGGAGGTCTTGAAAGTCCACGAGCGCATCCACACGGGAGAGAGACCGTACTCCTGCTCCCGGTGTGGGAAGAGCTTCAGCGCGGTGGGCCACCTGAGGACGCACCAGCGCACGCACACGGGAGAGCGGCCCTTCTGCTGCCCCCAGTGCGGCAAGAGCTTCGGCGACTCGTCCCATCTGAAGCGTCACCGGCAGATCCACTCCAGGGAGGCAGCAGGCAGGACTGCGGGGGTCTCTCCGGGCGCGGAGCCGCAGGGCTGCGGGCTGCGGTCTTAAGGCCGCGGTGCAGGAGGATGTCAAGTGGAAGCTTTCCCTGTGCTGTGGCAGAGACCTGCCAAGTAGGAGTTGAAGGTCCAGGCCAGGCCCACTGCTGACACAGCCTGGTGGCCCACATGCCTCTTGTCCCGTATCTGCAGCTCAGCAGGAGGGAGGGGGGGGGGTGCCCAAAACCAGGACCGGGAACCCCTGATCTTAACCAGCAGGGGTGACAGGGTCTTCTCCTGCTGCGCCCCAAAGCTCTGGGATTCTATCTGTAAGGATATCGGAAAGACGCTGTCTCTGAGCTCTTTCAAATCCAGACTCAAAACCTTCTTTCAGCTGGTTCTGTCTCGGCCCCTTGGCTTTCCTGCTGTATTCCAAACCCGTATTGCAATTGTGTAATTCTGCTGTCTCCTCTCATGTGCTTTTTTTCTCACTGTAAAGCGCTTTGAGAAGCCACTTTCTAAGGTGGCAGATAAATTAAAGATATTATGATTATTTATTACCCATGTGTAGCTGTCATCAACTCTGGCACTATTGTTCTGTGACACAAGCTGCTGTGTTTACCCACAAGCCTGTATGCAGACGTCCACTTGCGCGATATCGAGATCATCCAAAAAGCATCACTTGTCCTGCAAACTCTTCTATAGCATCTCTCGGATACGCCTTGCACGGGGCACGGGCAGATCGTGTGAACTCCACACAGACAGCACCTGATGTCTGGAACCCAGTACTGACCCCTGCAACACTGTGCCGCCCAAACCTACAGAGAACTTCCACAATGTGTTCAGGAGTCGTTAGAATGCTTTAGCCTGCTGTGTATGATCCCTGTGGTTGTTGAGAGCAATGGAAGAGGACACATTCTCTTGGAGCAGTGTGCAGTGGAGCACGCAGTAACTGAGGCAGAGTTTATTTCAGAAAAACTGTAACAGGACTCAAAACTGACTGCAGTAACCCCCCAATATAACTCAAACACCTGATCATCAAAGCTGGAATTGTAAGAAATATCCTAGTCCTGTGTGCTTTCCCCAGTATCCCCACACTAAGAATGTAGTTATTGGTGCCCCAGGCTGAAGGTTTTCCGTGCTTGGACCCAGATACGGCCTGTCTGTTCCACGTGTCTGGCTGTGTGGGGATTTGGGTCTGGGGTTCATAGGACGCGATTAGATCCCAGTGTATGGAAGTAAAAGTGACTGAAAAGATTTCGCTGAATGTGGAGTTCTCCGATTATTTTAAAAGCTATCTTGGAATAAAAGTGGAAAACCTGACACATCACAAATCTCGGACGCAAGGCAGGGTACATCCTGCACAGAACAACAGTCCATCACAGGGCAGGCGACCTCCAGGGCCAGTTTTCCCAGTTTCCGTCCCGCCTGGAGGGAAACCCACATGAACATTTCGTGGAGCTGTCGTCGTCCGTTACACGCCGTCTCAGTGGAAGGGTAGAGCTCATGGGCGTGCAGTAGGGGGCGCTCTTCCACCCACACTAGATTGCACACCCCAGCGGAGACAGGGAGGGACAGCTCTGCAGCGGAGACTTCCCCAGTCTTCACGGTCACACTGCTGACAATCTCTCGACAACACCGGAACAGGCCAAATTCAACGGCCACAAACCGCGAAAACAGACGCATCGCTTAGCGAGTAGCAAAGAACAATGAAACATACCGTAGTCACGTAGGCTCATCCAGGTCAGTGTCCCTCTTAAAAAAGGAGGGCGTAATTATTAAATTTGTTTTTCATGTGCTACAAGTATCCGCAAAGGCATTTAAAAGTTTCTAATAATAAAGCTTATACTAATATAGCGCTTTTCTGGACACTCCACTCAAAGCTCTTTACAGGTAATGGCGTCTCCCCACCTGGATGATGTTCCAGTCTGCTCACACACACCAGCTCTCAGTGGGGAGGAGAGCTGAGTGATGAAGCCAGTTCAGAGAGGGAGGTTATTAGGAGGACATGATTGGTAAAGGCCAGGGGGAAATTTGACCAGGACTCCAGGCTAACACCCCTACTCTTTTTGAGAAACACTCTTGGATTTTTAATGACCGCAGAGAGTCAAGATCTTGGTTTTACATCTCGTCCAAAGGATGAGGCCTTTTTACAGCATAGTGTCCCCGTGACTATAGTTGGACATTAGGACCCACACAGACTGCAGGGTGAGCGCCCCCTGCTGGTCTCACTAACACCTCTTCCAGCAGCAACCTCAGCTTTCTCATGAGTCTCCCATCCAGGTACTGACCAGGTTCACAACTGCTGAGCTTCAGTGGGCTGCCAGCTTTGTGCTGCAGGGTGATGCAGCTGTTGGTAATTATAATTAACATTATAATCTGGACATTATAGTTCTGTAACTAACACATTACAGGCATCCAGCATACACCACAGGAAACATTTTAAATTCCTGTATCTGCTGATAAAGTGGCTGATAACATTTCATTTCTTCCTGTTTTTTAAAGAATTCTCCTAAACCAACTTTAAAAATTATTTAAAATATATATTAAATATTTGTTACATACAGTATATTGAATATGTTAAACATACATCTGTTTTCTAACCACTTTATCCAGTACAGGGTCACGAGGGAGCCGGAACCTATCCCAGCAAGCACCAGGAACAAGGCAGGGTACACCCT